CATACGAGATCGTGTTTAGACAAGTCGAAAACTCGTAAGCAAGAATCTCCTTACTACATATTTCTCTGTGTAAACAGTCGATGAGGCGATTAAGTTGCTTGCGAATCTCGTATGACATAATCGTAGGCGAGATTTTAGTTCTTGCCTGAATGTAAACATTATGATACGATAATCTTATGGCGATTATTGCTTACGATAATCGCCTACGAGTTTTCGTTACGAAGCGTGCGAGAAACTCTCTCCATCTAAATGGGCCTTTACCTCAACTAAAGTAGGCACACTTCCCCGATACATAATTTTATGGTTATGTTTTATAAATACACATAGAACTCTTATTTTTAACAATCCAAGTGAAATAGTAACAGTAATATTAAGTTTAACAACTAAAAAAAACTTTGCCTATACAAAATACCCGCCCTCGTCGAAATGACGATAGCTACGAAAGTACCTAACAGAGCACCCTTATTATACATTGTATGCTGTTAAATTAGTTTTCTTAATAATAGAAGTTACGACGACGATGTGCTTAAACAATTTCCTTAAAATGTCGTGTTGGTCTAGATTCCACACAAGTGCTAGCGAACGGTGTGCGCGTGCTAAAGCTGTAAGTCGCACAAGGACTACAATTGCTTATTTCCTTATTCTCTGCAATAGATCATTACTATTACCAAGAGCACTATACAAAGGTTATATGCTTGAACAAGACCGTGGTGGGATACGTCTAAGTAGAGCAAGGTCTATTAATAATTTATTGTTTAATTCAATAAGATTATGACTACAATCACATTTTGAACGAATGCGGTGGATAAAGGTAAACTTATTTAAAATATTCATTTGTAACAAATAAGTATTGATAATGTACAGCTTTTATCGATAAATATGCACATATTATTATTATATTTTTTATATACATTTTATTATATATTATTATTATTATTATTATTAATATATATATACATATATATATATATGTGTGTGTGTGTGTGTGTGTGTGTGCGTGCGTGCGTGCGTGCGTGCGTGCGTGCGTGCGTGCGTGCGTG